AACTGTGGTTATTATCAGCAGAGAAAGCAACCTCGCCCGCACGAGATTCACCTTCCATCCAAGTGCAGATGTGACTGACCTAACAATTCTCCCTCTCTGTTTAGACGGCCTCTATTACAGGTTTGTGCGTCCCACACCAGAACCAGAAAAAAAAAATGCACAGTTAAATGAAATCATTCATTTTCTGGTCTGATGTCATCCAAAAATTGCCATAATTGCGCAGGCCTGGCGTCTCTGGTCTGTGACTGTCAGAGACTCCGGCGCTGAGCGAGGTGAGCGCAGTGCAAACTGTTAGCATCTCCAAAATGTGCGAGGGGTCCACGACGAAGCGTGTTGGACCTCTTTCTTTGTCTTCTTGGAATCACCACAAAGCTTTTAACCACAGTCCAAGCGAAGACACGATTGAGCTTGATGTGGTGGCACTCACGAAGGTAATGACAGACTCTCAAAGGCAACAGCAGAAGCTCAGGGTGCTTCGCTGCGTTATGTGGGGATGCACGCACATGTACTTAGGCGACCGCACCGAGCCCAAGAACCACCACAACTGCATGGAGAAGTTATTCTCTCCAAGGAAAAACAACAAGCCTAACAGGGATCTGCTTCTCTTTTTGCAAAGCACAATGCAGCTTTCAGGAGGAATAACATTGACGTTTACATGTCTGAGTCTACCTTTGAGTACCCTTTGTTGTGCAGAGCCAGACAGCAGTAGTCTCACACTGTGATTCTGTGTGAACATAAATAATACATTTAATGAATGCTAGATAGGATCATTTTTGTGCCATTGTTTACTTTGCAGGCGGCCCAGTAGTCCAGTGGTTAGCACGTCGACTTCACAGTGCAGAGGTACCGGGTTCAATACCAGCTCGGGCCTCCCTGTGTGGAGTTTGCATGTTCTTCCTGTGCCTGCGTGGGTTTTCTCCGGGTACTCCGGTTTACTCCCACATTCCAAAAACATGCATAACAGGCTGATTGAACACGCCAAATTGTCCCGGGGTGTGAGTATGAGCGCAGATAGTTGTTTTTTTCTGTGTACCCTGCGATTGGCTGGCAACCGGTTCAGGGTGTCCCCTGCCTACTGTCCAAAGACGGCTGGGATAGGCTCCAGCACCGCCTGCGACCCTAGTAAGGATAAAGCGGTTCGGAAAATGAATGAATGAATGTTTACTTTGCAGATATTGGATGTGATGTCACTTTTGTTCTTTGTGCTTTCAATGGCAGTGCTGATGACACAGCAATTGTCCCTTGGCGACACATGCAAGCGCAGAACCCATATTTGGGGAGACCTTGAGGATTTACGCGGGTGGAGGGGGTTTAACATTGCTTTTTGAATAAAAAGTAAACTTTCATTTGGATTTCATTTCACCATCGGTGGCAGACATGTGCAACTGGTGGTGTTTGTACTCTTGTGGCAACCACTCAACTTGGAGATCGAACATTCGACAGCCTTTCTCCCAAGCATATGCCCCCTGTATACCAGAAAGATACCCCTTCATTCATTTATTTTCGATCCACTGATCAACCTGCACCAAATACATTTATGTCACTGGGCGGGTGCTGTGGATGCCCTCCCAGGTGGAATCCGCCCGTTGGCAATTCCATCTGAGAATTTTTGCCTTACTTTAGAGGGGGCACATCTTTCAAATACAATTTCCACTGTTGTGTGGATTTGTGACGAAACAAAGTGTGAACCGAGTTGTGTTCCCAGGTTTGCGGGATCAGACAGAAAGGGGTCAAAGTTCACAGTCAGGTCAGTTGTTCCCCTCTCTTCCTGCGCCAAAGACTTTAGTACACGGAGGTAAAGGATATTCGGGATTGATCTCAGTCACTGGCGCTTCCTCTCCCCGCTTCCTTTCTTATGTCACAGCCAAGTGTCCCACTTCTCCACTTGGCCCACAATGCCAGAGAGAGGCGGCCCGTCCTTGAGGCCCGGGCTGGGTCGGCTCGTACGCTCGGCCAGTTGCGTAAGAGCGCTGTAAAGAGATAATACTCTTTACTCAAGACAGGCTCTTAGTCTGCACTTTCACCTGCTGCTGCTATTAACACAGTTAGCATTGCTTCAGTCCATCATTGTTCTATGTCACTGCTGTGGTATGGCACTAAACTGCAAACTGCAAAATCATTTAACTGCCAAGGTCTTCAATCTATTGGATGGCCATGCATTTGGTGCCTGGGTTTTCTTCGCCAAATTATTATACCTCTTCATATCACTAACATCATGTTGCAGTTATGAAAAACATCAATACTATATAAACGTGCAAAACAACATAACAGCACACATCCATGCCACGTAATGCACATCATTTGAAGCACCGGAGAATCAATACTGCCTATCAAAGGAATAATAACATGACGGGAACAAAGAAAATGGCAATGAATTGTACTCATTAGAGATGATGATTGCAAAATGTGTGCAACTTTTTACAGACGTGTTTTGGTACTTAAAGTTGGCTGAGACAAGTTTGGTTTGACCAACCAGTTAGAAGATGGAAAAATGCTATCATCAATTGAAATTTGATTGGTTCAAGAAACAGTCCCATTGCTAATGTAAGTTAAGTTCCATCGGCCAACACGAATGATTCTGACTGTTATATAGTCTGATTCGATTGAGATGGAAAGGCATCGAGGCTGAAATCTGAGTGGACAATAAAGTTTAACATACACATACTGGAAGCGGTGAAGTGAAGAGAAAGGATAAGAAATGAAGAAAAAAGACATGTAAGACAAATAAATGAAGACTAATGCAGTAGTTTGTAGTAGGTTGTTGGGTATTATGTTACACAACAGTGCAGCCTAGTGGTAGTGACTCAAACTTGTTCAAAAAATGTACAGTACAAAATGTGGTGTTCGTGTATGCAAATATTTCTCTCTCCCTTAATTTTTTAAATGTATTTATTTTTTGGAAGTTATTACTGATGAAAATGTACTAAACAGTGGGCGGTGTTTTTGGCACGCAGGAACTTAGTGCTGTTGTTTAAATAGTACGTGGAATAGTGCACTGTGGCCTGCTGCCTTCAGTGTGGAGGGATTAATAATTAGACACTGACCTCCTTTGTGTTGGAAACACACATCTTAAACACACGCTAGTATGTTTCTATGAATGAAACAATCATCCCTGAGCGAAGAACACGATATCCCAAATAATAATCATTTGAGTGCTGTAATTGTTATCTTTGCAGAGCAGTTTCGGAATTTTCCATATAATGGCGGACCTGCTAGGGCACCCCTTAAGTCAGAGCTGTTACTGTTAATTGATTTTGAATGAATTGACTGCACCCTAAAAAAACTGTTCTATATACGGACGTCCAATAATAATAATAATAACAACAACAACAACAACATTAATACTACTACTAATCATAATAACACTTACCATACAGTGTACATGTATGTTAAGTCAGAGCTGTTACTGTTAATTGATTTTGAATCAATTGACTGCACCCTAAAAAACTGTTATATATACGGATGTCCAATAATAATAATAATAATAATAACAACAACAACATTAATACTACTGCTACTAATAATAACACTTACCATACAGTGTACATGTATACACTGTATATGTATAGCTATCCCGACTCGCTGTCTGCAGCGAGCAGAGACCCAACTTCCAATCACCCTTCAGTATGCAAATGAGCTCGTGTCCGGTTTCTAATAGCACTTTGCAGCAGTAAACTGAAAATACGAGGCAAATGAGCTTTGTTAAACTCGTTCATAGTGTTTTGTGTATTGACATACTTAAATAATCCTAAAAACCAGTATGCAAATGAGCTCGTGTCCGGTTTCTAATAGCACTTTGCAGCAGTAAACTGCAAATACGAAGCAAATAAGCTTTGTTAAACTCGTTCATAGTGTTCTGTGTATTGACATACTTAAATGCTAATCCTGAAAAAAAAGAGTTCACGACAACCAAAACCATATAACCAAATTCTTCAAGTGGCTAAGCTATAGTTTATTCTCCAAGAACAGGGTATGTGTGACCACTCGCCTTTCATGTGTCACAGCACAGGGAGAGAGCACTGTTCATCTACGGTTAGTCTAACAACAATCACCGCAATAAAATAAGTATGCCAAGCATTTGAGACCGCGGGGCTTTACACGGCACTTTTCCATACAGACCTGCGGGTGCAGTAAAGTAAAGGTGGATGGCTGTGCTATACTGCCCCCAGGTGGCCAAGGCAGGTAAACCATTATTCAATTGATGCAGTGGGACAAAAAAACAACGGTTTAAATCTGGGGTAATTTCATTTAATCATGTAATGTGTTTCGGTAAAATACACATGATAGAGTGTTAAACTTCTCATTTAAAAGTACAATACACATTTTTTAGGTGGCCAAGGCAGGTAAACCATTATTCAATTGATGAAGTGGGACAAAAAAAACGGTTTAAATCTTGCGTAATTTCATTTAATCATGTCATGTGTTTCGGTAAAATACACATTATAAAGTGTTAAACTTCTCATTTAAAAGCACAATACACATTTTTTGCTTTCCTTTTTCTTTCATTCCAGTGGGGAAAGCTGATTTGAGATCTGAATTACTTGAGTTATGAGCGTCGAGGAACAAACTAAACTTGTTTTTCAAGGCACAACTGTATTTTGTTAGAAGTGAAGTGACAATGGCCATGGTTGAGTTCACTTTGTCAAAAATTAAATTGCCTGTTTTGTCATTGGCTATCCTTCTTTACGAGACGTGAGTTCATTCCTACTCAGTTTATTCTCTTCACTTGTGGTTGGGCTATTTTCAATTCCAACAAGACGTTAAAAACATTGATTTACGTGCATTTGTATTTATAGTTCAATAATACTCATTAACTCGCACAAGGATCGTCACAAAGAAAATGTCCCATTGTTTCAATCCACTTTTTGGTTACACTTGCATTATATGTATTGTATGTTTGAATAGATTTTCAAGGGTGACTCGATCTAATGGCTAAACTGACCCATGTGTCCACTACACGTCTATATTTAGCGGTCATGTGTTGAGGTGGTCAACTGGAGGGCGGTCGCGGACACGCCCTCTGTCTGAATGGAGCGCGCTGTGCGTAAAGTCCGATCTGCGGCCGAGTGCAACTTTAATTGGCTTCTCTTTCACACATTTCAGCATTTGTAATCGCGCACGTTGATTTCGATACAGCCATGACGCGGGAGGAAGACTTAACCCGGATTGCCAAGAAGTTGGAAAAGATGGTGTCTCGAAATAACACGGTCAGTAGAGCTGGACACCCACAGGTGGCGCGCTGTGTTGTGCTGTGTGCTGAGTCTACCCTCCGCTGAGTGTAAGCAGGCCCTGTTGCGTGACTGCAACTTTAAATCAACTTGCACTAACTACTGTAACACTTATACAGTAGCGTGTGCCCTCGGTATGTGCGTGTGCGTGTGTGTGTGTGTGTATGAGCGCGCGCGCGCGCTTGTATGTCAAAGGAGCTTGTAACGTACGATCAACAGGTGTTTGCAAAACACTGACCCGGGAGCAGTTTTAGAATGCATATTGATGTGGGTCAAGTGCTGCCACTGCTTGGCTGCGTGTGCGTGTGCGCACGCGCGCCCGCGTGTGTGGCGCATATGTTGAAGAGAACAAAAAAACAAGTACAGTCGTCGTAGTTTGCCAAGTGCTGAGTGCACATGCAAGTGCACTCTTGCACAATTAGGCTACTGTAAACTGCACATTGTGTTTCCAAGGCGTTTAAAATGTTTGAATTTTGGATAGAGGGTTTTTGGAGCTTTAAAAATAACATCCTATGTACATGAGCTGCATGAGCAAAATAAAATAGGGTTATGTTAGTGTATACGTGCATAATGTAAAATACATTAAAATATATGCAGAGTAAGATAAATGTAAAAAATATTATTTCCACCACTATATGCACAAAACTGTTTGTTTTTATTTAGACTCCCTGCATTTCTTAGTAAAGTTAAACAAATTACTTACAGAATGTACATGATACATTACTAATTACTGTCATTTAAAAGTACAGTCAATATATTTTTGCCATTATACTACTTTTGCATTACTTTTGGCTTACCTTCACCAAAGCAAACTGTGAAGTTGTAAAATGTAAATGTTAATTTGCATGTCACAATAGACAATAATGCCAAAAAAGAACAGATTGCACCAATTCTAATTGGACTCCGTTTAAGTTTTATAGTTTTCCCCACACTTGGAAATTATTTGGTATTCATTGCCTCAGAAAAAATGTCAATTGCTAAAAAACAAAACAAAACAAAAACATGGCTCACATTCCTCCTCTCTGCCTTACAGAATATGAATTTGAAAAAAACAATTTGAATTGTTTTGATTCAACATTTTCCCCCGACTCCACTCCACAAAAATATAAATAACACTATCAAGATTGGCACACATTGAGTAACATTAGCGTGAATTCCACTCAATGAGACATGAGCAGTGACCCAAAAGCCAACCAGACAGTATAGTCAGACTGCAGACTAAGGAAAGGGAATTGCGTATGATTTTTAAATTGGCAGCTGGATGTTTTTTTTTTTTTTAGGTAAAAAAGTGAAAAAGACAAAATGTGGTCACCACAATGTGAAATTATATCTTAACGGGTGTTATTTAATGGCAACCAACTTTTGTTTATCATGCCTTACAAAGAAACTGACACCCGAGTCTTATTTTCAAATGAATAACTTTCTCCTTTTTTCATTTGGTGAAATGCTATTCCACCGTGGGCTGCTACATATTTTGCATTGGCGTAATTAAGAATTGAGATAATTTATGAGTACGAGATCAATGTACTAAAGGTGTTCAACTCTGTGTGTGTAGGAAGGTGCCATGGACCTGCTGAAAGAGCTCAAAAGTTTCAATATGACACTTAAACTCCTTCAGGTAACACACGCGCATGCACGCGCACGCTCATCCCCCAACACAAAGTCCAGCAGCATAGTGTTCAATAAATGAACAGACTATGCGGACAAAGTATTGGGACATGTTGAAAAGAGAAGAAAACATGGACTTGATTCCCCCCTGCAGCTATAACAGCTTCTACTCTTTGGGGACAACTATTTGAAGGATGTTGGAGTATGTCTGTGAGAATTGTTGCCCATCCAGAAGAACATGAGCAAGAGAAGCCCAGGATTATAATTTCTGTTCTAGTTCATCCCAAAGTTTTCGGAGGACATGAGGTCAAGTTTTTCCCCACCAAACTCACAAGCGCCTTCACCAAACTGTTCACACAATGTTGGAAGCATAGAATGATCCAAAATGTATCTTTCTAAGATGAAGAATTAAGACCAACCAAACCCTTCATGGAGTTCTAAATGTATGGTTATATTTGTTTTAGGAGACGAGGATCGGCATGTCTGTGAATAGCATCAGGAAACACTGCCCAGACGAAGAGGTCGTCGCTTTGGCAAAAATCCTCATTAAGGAATGGAAAAGACTTTTGGGTATGTCGTGCGTAGCCGTCGTACTCACTGAACATTTAAGCAGATCATGTACACACGTTATTTCCTCTGACAACACACACAGACTTCAGCCGTCCTCAAACGGAGAAAGCGGCACAAGAGAAGAATGATTTGGACTCCTGCAAAGCAGCAATGTCTCCAAAGAGCTCACCCAGGTCAGTCAGTTGCTTCGCATCAGCTGCGTTGAGACCAAACATGTAAAACATCTGGCTTCACTGCTTCTCTTAGGATGATGGTTGTACGTGTGGAAAAAAAAAAAACTGTCGCTCAGGTGTTTTTTTCAGCACTTTTGTGGTGTTAATATTGTATTTGGGTGGCCCGGTGGTTGAGTGGTTAGCGTGTTGACCTCACAGTGCAGAGGTCGCGGGTTCCGATCCCGGCTCTGGCCTCCCTGTGTGGAGTTTGCATGATCTCCCCGTGCCTGTGCGGGTGTTCGAAGACAGCTGGGATAGGCTCCAGCACCCCCCCACTACCCGTGTGAGGATAAAGCGGATTGGAAAATGGATGGATGGAATGTTGTATTTGTTCAGAGCTGAGCCATCAAAAGAATAAAATATGAGGTCAACAAACACAGGTACTACCAGGTGCTTTTTCTATCATTCATTGGCCGAGCAGATTTGTCATTGCTGAGTCAATGGAACATTTGAGGCTATGTAGTGAGAGAATAATCAAACATGCTTCAGTTAGCTTCCCTTTTGCAATGCATTAGCTCGTCCAGAGGGTGTGCTATTTTGTATTCTCCGCAGTCTCCAAGTGATGAAAATTGAGATGAATTCGATTAGATGATGAAGTCATTGATATTCTATCGGCATCATACAGCTATCCCCGACTCCCCAACCTTCTTTGCACCACGGATGTTTTTCAACTTAAGACTTTGATGGACTGGCATAGAAACGAAGAAAAACAAAATATTGAAAATACAGCTAACTTTTACGGTAAATATAGTTGTAATTAGCGCTAGCCCTGCGCAATCTTCTCTTCATCGAGCAGGTCTCAACTTGTGTTCCATAGCATAGTGCGTTCTAAGTTGTGACATCATAGCCAGTCTCAAAACAACTCAGCGTTTCTCTCTTTCATCATTATTATTGAAATGGTGTTTTGTATTGTATTTGAGGAGATACTTGAAGTGCGGGCATGCTACTCGTCCAATGTTTCCACACACTTCTAGCATTGTACGGTCGGTACTGTGACAAGCTTTATGACGCAGTTGGGATGTTACTGCGTGTTGAGCCACGCAGTTCTGATCTTCAGTTTCAAAAAAACAGACACATCATTACCTGTTGAACGTCTCTTGAGAAAAATGGATTTGTGGTTTGTTGTTGTTGTTGTTGTTGTTGTTGTTGATCACAGGAGATTGGACATCAAACAGAGACAAGATTCAGTACCGGATGCAAATCAATCCATTACAGACATGCAAGGAAAACATACTGATGAGCCCAAGAATAAAAAGGGCCACCGAGACGCGAACGGGGTTGAAAAGCATCTGTATGAGAAACGACTAAAAGAAATTGTTACAGAAGAAAGTAAAAAGCCAAGAGAAGCAGAAAACAACCAGCTTGAGAAGAAACAGAAGCATGAACCGGACCACCTAAAAGAGATCAGAGAGCGTGAGGAGTCCAAAAAAGTCAACGGCTGGAAACCCAAAGAGGAGAACAGACCTGAGAGGCTGATGAACAAATTTCCAGACCAACCTGTCGGCAATGCCTACAAGGAGAAGTCTGCAGGTGTCCAAAAGCCAATCTTTGAAAGGTCAGAAGAGGCCCCTATAAGCAATATACTATCGCTGTTGTGATGCTTACAGGTGGCAGAACCGGAGTGACTATCTCTGATCTGAATTGAAATGATACAAAAACTTGTGTTTGGATTTGCACTGCCAAATACACCCTAAAATGTTTAGGGTTTTTTTTTCTTTTTTCCAGTTTAATTAAAAACATAATTCATTCAGCAGAAACTGTGAGGGAGGAGGATAAGGCGTTTTAGATATTGTAAACAATTATCCAGAGAAGATAGCAACACTGCATGGTGGTCGAGTAGCAAGAGTATAGTTGGGTTTGTAGTCTTGAGGTCATCATCACCTGTAGTTTAGTCTGGTAGTCTATGACGTGCTATTGATTCACCTGCCAAAGAGCCTGTCTTGCCATTAATCCGAGCAACAGAAAAATCAAACTGAAGCCGTCAACACACCGAACGATGCATCCAAACCCGACTGAATCGCCCTGAAGTCTACGAGGTTTTGCTGCTTATGTTGATGAGTGGCTGACCGTTGGCCTCTGGTTTTGCAGTCATTGTATGGAGCAATCGGTCATTGCCAGCAGCTTCTCAAAATACCCACGCCGTCTCCTTAGTCACGCCTTTTTTCTCCTCTTTGTGGCCATCTGCTTCTTCCTTGACAAATGCGCCATGTTTTTGTGGTTCAATCAAGTAATACAGTACGGCATGTTGTATGTGGAGCCATACAACCTTTTTCACGTGCAGCACATGGGTTAATGTATGACGCTCAAATTTTTCATTTTTTTCGACGGTCCACTTCACTCTCCTTTGCCCGCATTGCTCAGTGTGCAGCGGTCTTTAGTTCGATAACAGGGAAAAAGTCAAGCTGCATCAGGCACCAAAAGAACACCTCAATAGCAGGCTAGGCTCATTTGCAAATTATGGTCCTATTACCAAGGGTAACCCATTTCATGTCTTGCTTTCCTGAATGAATGAGCACGTCTCTTTTCGGGAAAGTCAACTCAAAACTTTTCTTGACCATAATATGTTCCATGCCCCCCCCCCCCCCCGAGTCGTAATGGAGCATTTTGAGTCATATTGCGTTTGTGTAAAACGAATTAAGAAGCAACCACCCCCCTCCCCCCCGTTTTTATTCACCTGATGACTGAAAATGACATCACAGTTGCTCAGGCCAAGCCACCACGTCTGCATTTGAATCAACTTACCTGTTGGACGACTGTATAAATTGCGGCTGGCGTTGGGTCTTCCTTCCAAGCAGTTCACCTTACGTTGCATATTCTTTTTGACTGACACTTCACGCATTCATACTGCACAGGTTGAGTAGAAGACTTTTCATCCCACCCCGCAAGAAGAAAATCTTTCATTCACGCTTTTCACCCCGTTTCATCGATCGCTCTTGCTTTGGTCAAATGACATGGGCGGGTTTGTTTTACTCGCGGGGCCATCAGGGAATGCTTCAGCTTTTGCCACCTGGAAGAATGTGTGATGTCATGGCGAAACGTCATAAGGCAGTGGTTGTTTCAGAAGGAGCCTCTTCATTTCAGGAGAGGAGTATTGGACAGCAGCATTCTCTATCCCTCCCGCTTCCCCTCACCTCCACGCCCCGCTCGGCCTCCTCTCCCGATCAAGCGCCCCTCTGTGGATGGGAAGAGAGAGAGGTCAGCATCCCGAGAGGCGGTGTGGGATGGACTTATTGTTCTCATCGGCCTTGTCGCTGCGCATGCTGCATGCTGCCATGGCTTACTCGTGTGCATCTTTATCGTGAGCATGTTTGCTCGGGGCACATCTCGCAACATGGAAGTGTTGACGTCGCGGCCTACTGACGGGTGAAATTTGTTCAGGAAGGATGGTAAAGACTCCTCGCTTGGGCGCTCTCATGCTTCAGGGCTCACCTCCCCCACGGCTAAGCGCCCTTCATTGGAAGCTAAGGAGAGGTCAGGCGGGATGTATTATGTGCTCACATGCATGACGTTGCAGTGAATGAATTTTCTTTTGGGAAGCTCATATTTTGTTCATATTAGGAAAGTTCCAAAAGACCCAAACGCTGCGCGGGCTCCGCTTTCTTTTAATCTCCAGCCCCCACCGCCAAGGTCAGCGTGCACTGACAATGTCAGCTGTCACCGTGACATGACTAATCACCTGCTCAAGCTGTCTTGTCCTTTTAGAAAAGAGCCCCCAGATCCAAATGCTCCCCTGCCTCCACTGCCTCTTCATCTTCACCCTCCACCCGCGCCAAAGCGCCCCTCGCTGGATGGGACAAAGGAGAGGTGGGATTCGGATCACAACGGACCGCAGCTCCGGAGGTGGAATACTTTGAAGCTTTTTGATATGTTTTTAACCACAGGAAGGACTCCTCACACTCTAAAATTGCCTCCCAGAAGACGTCAGACTGTGTGAAGAGAGACAGGTCTGGAAAGTGGGACACCAATTTGTACTTTCTGGAATGGATGTGTATGACTTCAAATCACTGACAGAAATAGATCGCGTTTGGGCTCACAGTAGAAAAGTCTTGATTTCTTAACAAAAATTATTTATTCATTTAAAATGGTTTTTATTTTGTGTTTGTTTTAGAAACCTGGCTTAATAGGTAGAAATGGCCAAGCCACAAGATTTTCTGTGTTCTTTTCTTGCAGGAAAGACAGTTTGGATAGCAAAGTGGCTAAAAAACCATCAATGGATGCTAGAAAAGAAAGGTTGGAGATGCATGAGTGTGAAAGTGCTTGTTCGGCCATAGAGCAGATACGAGGATTGACTTTAAAGTTGGTCAATCGTTTAGTCTCGCGCAAAATATAATGTATAGGGACACTGGTCCATTACTCCTACAGGAAGTAAAAATGGGAGAAAGTATGGAGGTCAAGATGTTGTTGCTGCAAAATTACTTATTATCCTTTCAAACACAAGACTATTTCTGAGGTGGAATCTCGCCAAAAAGGCGGCACGGTCCGGCTTATAGTGAGGTCCACGGTTTGATTCTGGCTTCGGCCTTCCTGTGTGTTTGCATGTTCTCCCTGTGCCTGCGTGGGTGTTCTCCGAGCACTCCGGGTTCCTTCCACATTCCAAAAACATGCATGACAGGTTGATGGAACACTCTAAATTGTCCTTCGGTGTGAGTGTGAGCGCGGATGGTTTTTCGTCTCTGTGTGCCCTGCAATTGGCTGGCAACCGGTTCAGGGTGTACCGAAGACAGCTGGGATAGGCTCCAGCACCCCCATGATCCTCATGAGGATAAAGCGGATGGATGGAATCTCGCCAATCGAGCACAAAGCTCCTGGCATGACTCAAGTCTCAAATCAACGGGTGTTTCTCTTGACATTTGTCTCTTTCTGTCATTCAGGAAGAACTCCCTTGACTCTAAATTAAGCCAGCCAGTGAAACACCATAAAACTACTACCAACCCTGACAGGTCTGCACAGGGTAATGCTTTGTATTTGTTTATTATGAACTCATGTTCACTCAAGTGTGTCATTACTCAGGCGGGAGTCTGAGTCAAAGCCAAACAGCCTTTCACCTCCTACAAAGAAGCTGACGTCTGAAAGGTACATGCAGCATTTGATCCACTTCAAGTAAAATCTGCTTGCTGTGTTACGTGTGTTAAAAGCAAAGAGGTGATGATGTTGACGTTATGTGACAGGCGAGAGTCTCAAGGCTCAAAAGCCTCTCAGCCTGGACCTCAACAAAGGAAGCAATCCACTGACCACAATGAAAGGTATTTACAGTTAGCAAAACAAAAAAAAAAAATGGGACAAGCTCAATTAAATTTCAAAACGTTTTTCACCATTCATGTGACATATGCTTATTCTGCACTACTCGATTGAAAAAAAATTAAACAAGAATACGCTATCTTTTCGAGAGGGAAAATATACACCTGAGAGACATGCACGAGTGTGGACACTCTCTCAGACCATGTGGCTGTGATCAAAATTTACCCATCGCGTTAAAATTTATGTTAAATGAGAGTCAATGAACACTAATACACTTGAACATTTACGAGAACAGTTGGCATTTAGTCGGGGTAATTCAGAGGCAGAATTAAAAAAAAAAAAAAAACCTCTCTAAAATCTAGATAGGTGTGAATGGTTGTGCCCTGTGATTGACCTGTCTACACACCTCTCACCCTAAGTCACCTGAAATCGAATCAGGTTAAGTGGTAGAAAATGGACGGATGGACACCCCTGTATTATATACACCGAAAAAAAAAAAATCTTATCACATTACAACATAACAAATGTTCAAGAATTGCACAGAACTCTGAACGTAACGTTCCCACAAATGCTTATGTGCGCACAACATGAGACGTGTCCTGGCTGGTTCACCAGTAATATAAAACTTTGTATCTGTCGAAGATCAAATGACGACACCCCTGCTCTTTTGTTCAGAAAGGGCAAAACCGAAACGCCTAAAACTCCAACAACGCCCACCAGCCCCATGTCACCTGGCTTGGCCTCCGGTGGGGGTCCATTATCACCTCACCTGACTACTGGAGACTCTGTCCGCGACAAGTGCATCGAGATGCTGGCTGCTGCCTTGCGCACCGACAGTGAGCACGTTTTTTTTTTTTTATAATCACTCATGAGCACCGCTTTGTTACATATATTATGTATTTTGTACTTCTGTTTTGCTCACAGATGACTACAAAGACTTTGGAACTAACTGTGACAGCATGGCAGCAGAGATTGAAGATCATATCCTTCAGTTCGGTCAAATATGTGCATGAGCGCGTGACTAACCTACCACATTCAATTATGCACTAAGATGAAAACTCTTGTTTAACTCATTCAGTACCAGCCAATTATGGACCAAGTCTGAAAAGACATTTAAAAACGTCTTTGGGAGTGAATGAGTTTTAACATGCTGAGTGAGTTCTTCCTTGATTTATTGCCGCACATATCCACCAGGAGATTAAGGCCACCGACATGAAATATAAGAACAGAGTGAGAAGCCGCATCAGTAACCTAAAGGACCCAAAGAACCCTGGTCTGCGCAGGAACGTTCTCGTAGGAAGCATTGATTTGAAACGCATTGCCATCATGAGCGCTGAGGTAACGTGGATGAAACAATGAATAGAAATGGCGTGATTTAATGCAATATCCCGAATCACTCTGAATCCCAATGGGATTATCCATTCTAACTAATGATTAAACATGAAGTAAATGGTAGCAGTGCCTGAGGTAACCATTTTCACATTGCATTGCACAAAGCAAATGCCACAAAGTAAACCAAAGCCCAGCATGACAACAGTTGAAAGAAGGACGGCGACGCTCAGTCTAGAATTCTGTCGGTACAAAAATTTGCTAGAACGCAAACGCACGAACCGCACTCCATTCACTTCCCACCGTTCTGTTATTACATAGACGGTATACCTTTGTTAAACATTTACACTGAACTTTGTCTGTCGCCGTCTTCCAAGTTACTTTTTGTTTACATAGCTTCTATTGCTTGATTTGGAAGCAAACCAGTAGGCTGGAATTAACAGCACCCTGTGCCGGTTGCAGCCAGGTAGTGTAATTGCAATCCAGCTTTTTTATGGAAGGAATGTTGTCTTATGCAAATTCTGCCTGATCACCCAAAATTCAGGAAGCTCAAACTGTGAGCAATTGCATTATCGCACCCATGCTTGATTCCTCAGTAGCACTTATTAGGACTGTGTCTCTACGCATGAATGATCCTTTTCATGTCCTCGCCACATTTTGTGCTCTGCGCCACCGCAAAGGAAATGGCAAGCGACGAGCTTAAACAACTGAGGAACGTCCTCACCCAGGAGGCCATCAGGGAGCACCAAATGGCCAAAACCGGGGGAACCACCACCGACCTGCTGCAGTGCGGCAAGTGCAAAAAGAAGAACTGCACATACAATCAAGTAAGTCACAAACAAGAAGGGGACACCTGGGGCTTCATACGCGCAGAAGAGGAGGTAATTGACTGTACACATAGAAATCCATCCAAGCATTTTCTATACCACTTAGCCTGCTCATGCGTACAGGAAACATACAGACGAACATCAATTCACATTCACATTCGCACCGATGGAGATTTTACATGGCTCTGATTTTGTGAATGGCTTCACTCCTGCGAGATGCACAGCGTAACTCAGTGCACATGAGGACGAATGCTTTTGCAAAATCGTTCGCAGATGAGCATAGGCTGGTGGATCTGAGATTGGGAGGGCTGCGCCTCTGTGGGGGTGGCCACAGCTGAATTCAATGGTGGCCAATCACCGTGGCTCCTCTCATTCCCTTTAAAAGAGGCACACACCAGAGTCTCAACATGACGTAGTGCACATCTGTGCCGCGAAGTCAGCACTTGGACATCCCTCCCTCCCCTAACTTATTGCTAGGGAGGAACTATTGGATTGTTACCTTCAAGAAGCACAACCTTGGATTCACATGCATCATTTTCCACATACCTTCTTACTAGTCATGCCTTTCCATTGGCAATAGCAAGTCCTATGGGGTGACATTTCAGATTCCCAGTCAGCTGGGTTTTTGAATATACCGTACAGTTAAGATAAACCATGGCTGGTCTCTCATCCGTCAAGGTGATTTAGCCATCCGTTGTCCTCATTACTGTGCCAGAGCCGATCTCACCTGAGTTTGGGGAAGAGGGTGGGTTACACCCTGAACTGGTCCCCAAACCATTGCAGTCAAGATAAATAACATTCGCAGTTCCAGGACATTGGTAGACCTGCGATTTTGATGTACTGTATTGGAAACCACAGGATATGGTATAAATTAATTATTTAGAAAAATACATTAAAAAGAATTAGCACACTGTGACACATTTGATGGTTTGTTTTTTTTAGGTGCACTGATATCTCATGAAAAGCTTTTTAAAAAAAAAGCATGGTCAGACTTTTGAGCTGATGTCCCAATGATGGCAGTTCAAACCATCAAGTTTTGTTTGACTTGAAGAGGCACATGGTTGAATCCTGAATTGTACGACTTCATAAACAATGCGTATTGGAGGCTACACTGTACACAGCAATGATGAATTAGACATCCTTGATCACCTTTGCATTTGTGTGTACGTGCTTGATAGGTGCAGACACGCAGCGCTGACGAGCCCATGACCACATTTGTCCTATGCAACGAGTGTGGGAACCGCTGGAAGGTCAGCTTGTTCTTCCTCTTCAACTGTGTACGTACACTATGTTGTAAAGATGTTTTTTAAAATAATTCATCTGTTTTTCCAACTTTCAGTTCTGCTGATGCCTTCTTGGTGAAATAAACTTTTTTTCTGGATAATGGGGAGTTTATAATTGTAGTTGGTGATTTTAAACATTTTGTATTTCTACAATTTTCACTTGAATTTTTGACTTTTTTTTTTTTTAAGCATGCGGATAATGAAGGTTTGCTTTTTAGCAAACTGAAGATTGAGCATGAGTAAAGATGACTGAGTCATTCAGTGTTCACATTGTCAATAATAAGGCTCTGTAATCAGGATTCGTCCCAAATGGAAATGATAATCATTCATCATTGTTCACATTATAGCCGTTAAATTTGTATATAATTCCAATAAACCGTTTTTTTTTTTTTTTAAGCATGCGGATAATGAAGGTTTGCTTTTTAGCAAACTGAAGATTGAGCATGAGTAAAGATGACTGAGTCATTCAGTGTTCACATTGTCAATAATAAGGCTCTGTAATCAGGATTCGTCCCAAATGGAAATGATATATAATCATTCATCATTGTTCACATTATAGCCGTTAAATTTGTATATAATTCCAATAAACCGTCTCACTAATCAAAATGATTCTTGTTCGTATCACATTTATTGAAGCAGTTCTTCCAAAAACATGGGTCTTTTTTTTCCCATCATCATCCATGAGCAAAAGCAGCAATGTATGTAATGAAACAAACCACATACTTAAACAGCAGATGGCAACAAAGCGTCATGATTCTTCTGCACAAGATCACCAGCAGTTGCCTCATTGGATTTCTCCTTTGGCTAGCAACTGCGTATTAGGTGCTGGTTTGTTATTCCTGAGCCCAAAAGCTGGTGAAGCCGAAAGAGAGAAGCTGCTGGAGATAAAATGCAAAGTGAAAGCTCCCTTTCATTTCCATGCATACAGTTGGATACCAAGTTAGCTATACTTGAACAATGCAATGAGAGACAAAAGTATAGCACAGATACATTTTGAGAGGTATTCATGCAACAGTATTATTTTTTTAATATGCCACCTCGGTCTCGATCATCCGTTTGAATGCGAGTGGAAGCTACATTTCATTACTTGTCTTGCTTCATGACCAATAAACATCTCCTCCATATGCACAGGCTGATAGTAAGCATGAATTTTTCATTTTGGACTCTGACCATGAAATCATGAGCAATTCTTACAAAAGAGAACAGATTGTAATCCTGTCTGCGTTGCCTTGATAATTTATTTATGGTTTCAGCGTCATGCTTTCTCACAGGACAAAGATGCATGCTCATAAAACCATGGTCTTGAAAAATGGCATCAACCGACAATGCTGTCAAATGATAAGAAAAATGGAGGGGGGAAACGCAGCGTGTTAGTATGTGTCTGCTGATTACAGACCCTGAAAGTATGATTGGCATATGCAGTGAGTCACTTCTCTTTGCTCCTTGTAAGAATTTTGTTCTATTTCAGTCTGGCAGGTTTCCCTTTAAAGCGCAAGCACGGGCGTTTAATTGATGGAATATTTCGAAGCAAAACATGTCATTGTACAAATTGTATGCACTTGCATGCTCATATTTAGAAGGATCTATTTTTTATACTCTCTTGTATTATATCACGTAAGTGTTGCTGAGGCTCTCTCTGGTATCTTTTGAACAACGGTATCATCTACCCCTTGTATGTTTGTGGCCATGAAGGTGATTAACTCACCTGACTTCACATATATACATTTATGATCCTTATACTGTTTGAGCACCTTGTCTGCTACAGGCAGAGGATTTCATGACTCATTTCTTCCACCTTCCTCCTCCCTTTCATTCCCTTCAATAGCACCCTACCAGCACGAGCACATGCAGTTGAAATCTATGATGAACTGATTGCACCTAATTGGTTGCCGCTCCTACTAGTTCAGCCCGATGAAGATTGCTGGTCTGTCCGTGAAGATGGGACATTTGCAAAGACATCGATTGCCTGCCGCATAAAGGAACCGTGTCAATGAAAAAAAAGGGCAAAACCTCCTGGGGAGCGGGATCAATGTAGTCTTGATTAGATGTTCGATCATCAGTATGTACTGACACCATGTAAAATTAGCAACTACGTAAGCTCCCGTATGTGCTTGCACGGCCCACCCGAGTCCACAATTTTTTCCACCGCCTCTGCTCTCAGCTGCTGCTGATGTCATTTGCTGTTTCGCGCTCTGGGAGTATAAGTCAAAGATGTTGAAGTATCAGTGGCTGTGGTAATAAAACCTTCCTGCGGTGTTTCGACGCGGTGAGATAAACTTGGTTCATATCCATATTTATATGGTCGTCACAGAGTTTCGGGCAAGAGCTTGAACACGTTCAGCAGAAATCGCTGATAGCTTATGGGAGAAGGAGAGTAGAGACAGCCGAAGAACAACCTCCATCTTCCATGGAAATGAAAGTTGCATTTAGGAGACAATCAGCACTCCGATTTCAAATGCCAGTATAAATCACGACAGATTTTCATGCACCAAGCCTCCTTGGCATTATACGTGGAGACGGATTTGTAAACAATTAAAATCAAGGCAGACTATTCCCTGAAAAAAAAGCTCAGAATTGCCTTCCTTCTTTTGTTGTTGTATAATAACAGCGGCTGAAACCAAAAATACGCAGAGAACCAGACCGCAATACTGTACACTTTAGGTGCCATTGACTCCATTCACCCTCAAGATCGGACTGGCTTGTTGAATTGAAATAAGCGAGAGCTGGGAAAAGGCCCAGCCAGGAGACAGAAAAGAAGCTTAAGACTTTCAAGAAAAAGAAGGCTACATTTAACAGACAGTATCAAGAGTCCTACTTAAAATACTGATTTTCCGGGTTGAGTGAACGCTGGCGCGTCTGGCTGCCGCGTCTGGCTGCCGCTGCTCACCCGCTATTATTCTTTTTTAGCGTTTGTTTTACGGGTTTTTTTACGGTTTACTCTCGTCATGGGAGAAACCCTCCTCTCCTGTCGCAATTCGTTGTGGTTTTGGACCGTCGGTCGTCGCACGGTTGTCTTGGGTCGCGCTGTCGCGGCGTCCTGCCTGTTCGGCTGTCGGACGGTGCTCTGTGCCTTCTCCGCCCCTCTGCGCCCCGTGGTGTGGGTCGACGGGGCCTGTGTCTGGGCTACGCTGCTGTGGACCGTCCTGTCGCTCCTCCGTCTGCCCGTGGGGGGACTGCTGCGGTGCTCAGTGGCGGGACTTCTTGAGCTCCGCTTCCGGTGGTCGGGCTCCCCGCCTGTGCTGCACCGTTTCCCGGGCGTCACTCCTCGTCCTTCCCGGAGGTGCATCCGCTGTGGATCTCGTCGGGGGGCCGATCCGGGGGCCACGGCGTGTTGGCCGGCCTGGCTGGGTCAGCTGGTGCTCCTTGCGGCGGCGATGTTGCCGGCGTCAACTATTTTGAGTCGCTAAATTCAGTTTAAATTCATCTCTCCTTTTATTATTTATCATTTTATCTGTGGTTTTATTGTTCTTGTTTTGATTGTAAAGTGTCCTTGAGTGTTTTGAAAGGCGCTTATAAATGTAATGTATTATTATTATTATTATTATTATCTCAATGACGCACCAAGCCCACTCTGCATAATATACGGCAATGGTGAGTTGTATTTTTCATGGCACTTTGTATTTGCAGTGTATCTTATTTTGAAGGCACGTTTAAACGTTACCATAGCAACCAGAGAGTGTTGCGCCAGATAGAACGTTCCTCTTGTCATGATTTGTGTTTATTATTACATTACGAAAATACCACAGTTTTCATGCAGGTCATATCATATTATTTTGTTGTATTTATCCGCCACCACCTTAAAGGCCTGTCCCTGAAAATATTGTCTGATATTAAACCGGTCCGTGGTGCAAAAAAGGTTGAGGACTGCTGCTCGACAGGATGCACTGCAGGGAAAAAAAAAAACATTTAATCATGAAGGCTCATTTGTGCCGATCTTTTGAGCTTGCCTTATCCCCAGTGCTGACAGGCAGCTGCCTGACTGGTGTGTAATGATGGAAAAAGGAGACTAAATTTCTCCCTGCAAAGCGAAAGCATGATGAGATTCTTCAACAAGTGACCATCCCATATCTCTACAGTTTGCGAACAAATTGCGAACTCAATCCTCTGTGATGACAGCAGTGATGCCCACAGAGCGATTTTCATCAGAGACTATCTCCACGCTTTGCGAATAGAAATAATGGCGTAGGCTGTCAACAGTTCTGACCTCAACACATATGAACACTTGTGGGACCAGCTTGTGCGTGCTGTTCATGCTAGAGTGGCCAAAGCAGCCACTTTGGCTGAAGTGTGAGCATTCGCGGGTATACAAGTGAGTTACTGTGGCCTCCTGGCACTGCACTCTGCTGTGTAATCTGTTTGTGCCAAACTTTATATTTTTCTAAGGTTTACGTAAATCTATTTAAGTCACCAACAGCGAGATAAAGATAATACAGAATAAGGACAATGTTCCTTTACAGCTGTAGTGGCGTCATATCCTGTCCAATTCTGCTTCCATGCTAATGTGTGAGAATTCATTGTTCACTTAAAAGTCGTGTGGCAAGCCACAGTGTTTGGAAAACACGACAAGCTAGCTATTCTACATTTAATGCACCTTAGTTACCCACGAGAGAAAGGTTTGGTTGTTGTGGCGGTGTAGGTTTGGCTTTTCCGCAAACTGTTGTTTCTTCTTTATTCCTAATTAGATTTCATTTATTCGATCCACCCAAAAATATCCAAGTCAACCGCAACAACAGAATAAAGTTTGAAATGGGCGAGGAATATTTAGCATGCTTTGTGCTGTGTGATTATTTCAATAAGTATGTTTTTTGTGTAATTTTTATTTTGTGCTGTGCCATGAGATTGTCCTAATGTGGAATATGTGCCTTAACTCAATGGACCATTCACAACTGTTCAGGATAAACAGTGTTGAAAAATGGGTGGATGCTTGCAAGACTTATTTGTTTTTGAATACGAACTGCTATGTTTTGTCATATTGGTGAAAGGTTTTATTATTTGTGTGAAGAGTTTTACAAAAATGGCCAGTGGTTACAAAAAAATGTGCTGAAGCCATCAGGAAAAAATGTAAGAGAGCGTTTTCTTAGATACAGGCAAGGCAAG